AGAGAGAGAGAGAGAGAGAGGTGGGAATGAGAGAGAGAGGCAAAGAGAGATCATGGCACAGACAGACAGACAGACACAAAAACAGACAGACAAGGAATAAGGAATCAACTAAATGTGCAAATTTCTCAAACTGTGCGACTAGTCGGCCAAATGTTGCAATTTTGAAGCATATAAAATACACATTAATGGTAAATTACTATAAAATAGCATGCCACCTGTTACTTTTGAGACATGTGATCCTAGTAAACACGCACACACACACACACACACACACACACACACACACACACACACACACACACACACACATGCACACACACATGCACACACAGAAGAGATGGACAGGAAAGGGAGGATGAGAGAGGGTGGGTGGAGAAAGGGGGAGCCATGTGGAAGGGGGCAGGCTGAGTGGGAGGGGTAGGGGTGGGGGGGGGGATAAGGGTGAAATTTGGGTCCAGGCCTACACAATCTATTTACCAACGTTTCTTTCTTTCTTTTTTCAAGAAATAAGACTTTTGGAGTAAAATGGCATATATGGAATAGAGAAGACTCAAACAGGACTTTATTTCTCATGTTCTTTCATTTATACAAGAAAAGGGCAAACACTGGTAAACATGCATACTTTTTCTGTTCGAGAACTACTGGCTGATGTAAATTGCACTGTCAACTGAGGAACAGATCTACTGATTAAATTAATACATTGTAGGAAAAACAAAACTACACTAGACAGCCGCCACAGTAGAAGACAAGCAGAACACCGGGCAAAAGAAGATTTATAAGAACACCCTGAGAAACTTTGCACCATAATCTTAGGCAGTTGAAGACAGAATTCTGAGAATGGTTAATTTCAGATACATCTAGGTTGTCTCAGCTGAGAGTCATAAAACTATTTGAAGGATGAGGTAGGCAAGGAAGTAAGTAAGTAAGAAAGAAGATTCATTTCCAACCCCCTAAATTTACAGGCAGCAAAGAAAGGACACTTCATATAAATAGTAACATTGTTCGATTGTTTTTCTAGACACAGATCAAGGGTGTAAAAGCCACAGAAAGAGTTTAAGTTTTCACCACACAAGAACGCCTACTGACAAAGAACAGAACCCGTTTTGGAATTGGTCACTGTCATTCCATTTAAGCTGACAACAGTACCAACAGCTTCAATTTTATAGGGCACTGAACCAGCTGTAGCACTGAATGATGGAGCATGCCAACTTATATACATGGCAGTATAAAAGCCAACTCTTCTGATGCAGAAGACAATGTAATATCTTAGTAATGAGTAATATATGACCTCAACTCAAGTCTCCTTTCTCCCATCAAGTCTTCTTGCTACAAGTATAATAATGCACTGTCAAATAGAAATAAAAAAGTAGAATCACCCACACTCAAGAAGGAAAGAGTTTGACACCACCATACAGTAATGTGTAACATCAGTGGAACCCCAGGCCTTATCCAGACCCCATACTGTTACATGGTCCTGCTTTAACTCACTGTAATTGTAACTGAAATGATTAGAATATTAATTATAGGCCCAAGAGACAGAACATTTATTTATACAAGATTAGGCCTACAGAGAGAGAGAGAGAGAGAGAGAGAGAGAGAGAGAGAGAGAGAGAGAGAGAGAGAGAGAGAGGCGGTACACATGCTAGCTAAGATTTATGAGGCTGAAAGGAAAAGCGGATAATTTTTTTTTAAAGAACGGCCTCCCTTATTAGGAAATTTGTATTTAAGCGGTGCAGTCTTGATTTTCTATCCTGCGCTGAACTTAACGAAGGGAATCGGCGACTTGATTGCAGACACTTGGCTTACTGGGGAGGTGTCGATCAAATACGCGAAAGACGGGTGTATGTTTTGTAACAGACAGGGAAGTCGGAGGAGGAAAAAAAGACGGGCATGGCTTCTAAAAAAAGACCGGCAGACAAACATGAATGAGGGTGTGTGTGCATCTGTGTGTGGACGTGTGCGTGTGCGTGTATACACATAAATTTGAGGGTGTGTGTGTCTCAGAGAGAGAGAGAGAGAGAGAGA